GCCTTTTCGGAAACCGGCTTGTTCGGGAGGCTGGAAGTCGTCGAGTCTGCTTGCGAGACGATTCGTAATGACTCTCGAAAACAGCATGTAGACGCGGCTCAGAACGGAAATCGGTCTGTAGTTCTTCAAGAGAGCGTTGTCGCCTTTCTTAAAGAAAAAGACGACCGCGCTTCTGCTCTACGCCTCCGGAGTAGTGCCACCATGGAGGACGGAATTGAAGAGCTTCTGAAGGACTTTAAGTACCGGTGTTCCACCCGCTTTCAGAAGCTCCGCTGTAATTCCATCCTCGCCCGGGGCCTTGCCGTTTTTAAGGTGGTGGAGAGCCATTCTAATCTCGCTTAGACTAACGTCCGGGATATCATCGGAATAGTGTCGGATAAGACTTGCTCTTGGATCGTTACTCACACTTGCGTGTGGCTCCAACGATGATGTGTACAGCTGCCCATAGAATCTCTCAATCTCACTCAGAATCTCAGGTGTCCCGGAAACGATGTTGCCACACTCAGTCTTCAGCCTTGACAGTTGGCTCTTTCTGGCAGACAGATCTCTGGCAAAGACTTTGGAGCCCTGGTTCCGCTCGATCGCTTCTTTAATACGAGCAGTATTAAAGTTGTGTAAGTCTCGCCGCATGCATTTGGAGATCTGTCTGTTCAGTTGCCTGTATGCTGTCAAATTTGTTGACGATTGCAGCCTCATCTCCCGTCTAACAGCCATGAGATTAAGAGTGTGATCGGAGAGTTTTTGTGTTCTTCTGCGGCGGGTCTTGCAGAACTTAGCTCCAACCGCATGGACAGTTTCCACGAGCTTGTCATTCATATCGTCCACTGCATTGCAATCCTCTAGGCACTGAAAGCGGTTTTGTAACTCCAGCTGAAAGGTTTCGGGATTCTGGATTAGAGCACGAGGGGGACGGAGCGTTGACTTCATTAGACGAGACCTCTCCAACTTAACGTTTAGGTTCAGTGTGCCTCTAACAATTCGGTGATCGCTGCCAGTTTTCACCCTTGCGATCACTGAGAGATCACTGAACAGTTGGCGTCTGGTCGTCATAATGAAGTCAATCTCATTTTTTGTCGAACCGTCGGGGCTCGACCAGGTCCACTTCCTGTGGGGCCGCTTCTGTATGAAAGAGTTCATCATAAAGGGTCTCTCTTTCTCCATAAAGTCGGCAAGCTGCTGGCCCCTTCGGTTCCGTTGCCCTACTCTAAATTTCCCCACCTTCAGCTCACCGCTTTCTCTTGTGCCCAGTTTTGCGTTGAAGTCTCCCATCAACACCGTGTAGTGGGATTTGGAGGAATGTTTGGCTCTGGAAATATCCTCATACATTTCCTCCACCTCCTCATCGGGAAGTGCCGAGGATGGTGCGTAAACCTGTATGACCTTCAGCGAATACCGTTTGGTGATTCTGAGTATCAGGTACGCGACCCTCGTCGACACACTCCCAATCTTTACAACGTTGTTGACGAGAGACTTGTGGACGATAAATCCGACACCTCCTTGGGACAGATGGTCGCCCTCCCGGTGGTAGAACAAGTTGCCGGACTCGAGGATTGCCGTATCCTCCCCTTCTCTTCGGACCTCGGATAATCCAATAATATGCCAGCGCAACTTGTCTACCTTCTTCTTCCAGCTCCAGTATCTTCTCGTCAGTCCTAAGGGTGCGTGCGTTATATGTTGCCAGGTCGAGTCGTCGTAGGTGACAACCGAACCTCCACCGGAGATTCTTAGCACCCCCTGCCCTGCCGTTACCATGGTCGCCACCGTAGCTAGGAATAGCGGGGCCGCCGGGGACTGGGGGCCGTTATTTTGCGTCGTTATTCATGGGGGGATATTTGCCATAGTTGCCACGCTTGGCGAGCGGGTTGGCATCCGCAGTTTTTTATTATAACATAGTTGTTATCAGGAAGATGCTGCTGCCCATCTCCTGCCTGTGTCCCTCTGTCGCCTCTTACGACACCCACGGGAGGATATGGGGTAGTAGATATTCTCAACCGCCACTACACGGCACTTCTAATTTTTATGTGTTGTTAATTATTGCGTAACTTAAATGATACCCAACTGTACTTATTTTCAAAAAAAATGTTCCCCTAGGTTTCTTGCAAATTTTCGAACTAGTGGTAAATAAAAAATGAGGCTGACTTTCAATAAGTATTACTTATTTAGAATCTATATTGAATAAAAATTATATTTACATATATTTCAATAATATAAAATATCAACAATATAATATATACATTTATAAGAAAAATTACATAAAATTAACACTAGTAATTACATACATATACAGTAAAATATCATTCCACATATTGTTATTAGAGTTGGGCCGATTAGTACTTTGGCCGATTGGCCGATTAGCCGATTAATCGGTTAAGAAATTGCCGATTAATCGACCCGCCGATCCTTATTCCGACTGATTTCGGGAAAAATTACAAATAAATTAAATATTTTTCTAAAAAGCCTTCAATACTTCTTCAAATTGGGTATTTCCTTTTAACAAATTATTAGATGGTTGTAGTTTCTTTATTTAATAACATTAAAAGAAAACAATTTATTGTCATTTTAAGTATATAAAAATAACAATTTAATTTAATTTTTAGTACAAAAACAATAACAATTTAGTTTTAAGTACAGAAACAAGTATTGTTCTATTTGTCTTTTAAAAATCTACATGTATGTAGTTTAACAATCTTTTTTCAAGATTAAGGTCTTATAGCATTTTTTTGTAATGCAAAGGGAGTGACTTAATTTTTTTTAAAGTTCTTTAAGAATAATATTATTAATATTTTATTTTGTTGTGTTACTACTCTGAATTACGATTAGAAAAAGATAAAAAGTAGAATTAAAATAGTAAGTACATAGGTTTTTGTTTAGTTTTAAATAGCTATTAGCTACCTCAGATTTTTTTAACCAAAGTTCCTATGTCCAGAATAATTAATATTAAAACATGTGAGACTGATTTTTAAATAAAATTTATGTATGAACCTACTTATTTTATTATTTATTTGATATACCTACATATAAATCTGACGTGAGTTTACGCATGGGAGAGAAACTATTATTTTCTTAAATTTAAAGCTTTAGGTACTCATATTAATGTAGTCGCAGTTACCACGCAGAAAATCACGAAAAACCTTTGCTGAAATTACTAAAATAAAAAGCCGATTAATCGGTGGTTTTACCCGATTAATCGCCGAGTGATCGGTTACTACAAATAGGCCAAATAATCAGCTTCACCGATTAGTCGGCGGCTAATCGGCCCAACTCTAATTGTTATATATATTATATGAGTTTTTTTGAAGGGCTTATTCACAAAATTGACCGTCTCGTTAGTCTAATGTTCGTAAACTGGGTTGTTGATCATGTGGTCCCGAGTTCTAATACCGGGTCGGACTAAACTCAATTATTGAGTTTTTCTGTCAAGACATTTCAGTAGCAGCCTGGAGTCAAGAAGTTAACAGTGTTTCACAGCGTGACTCGTAAAGCTCATAAAACCGTTGGTCATGCACCTGGATTCTTTCCAGTCGGGTCGGTTTTTATGTCTATCAGTATTTTTATAGAATAAGGGTGACAAACGAGCACACGGTCCACCTGATGGTAAGTAAATGTTGTAGCCCAGAGACTTCTACATCTATCCTCGATTAAGAATTAAAATGCAGAGTTGTCACCGCTGAAGACTCTGATGGAATATCTCGTTTCCCGTAAAAAAGGGTCTCCGGATCTCTACACTCAACACGTGTAGTGGTACGTATCGTATTACACAGCAGTAATAAAATGTTATTTTGCGCTGTTATTCTGTAATAACGTGTTCCTTCCCCGGTCGAGCGACCCATTCGTGCTACAACTATAGTATAGCTGCAGCGTGGCTCTACCACGTATAAAAGTGTATGAGATTAAGGAAACAGAGAGTACACCTGTGCTCGCACATACACCTGTGCTCGCACATACACCTGTGCTCGCACATACACCTGTGCTCGCACATACACCTGTGCTCGCACATACACCTGTGCTCGCACATACACCTGTGCTCGCACATACACCTGTGCTCGCACATACACCTGTGCTCGCACATACACCTGTGCTCGCACATACACCTGTGCTCGCACATACACCTGTGCTCGCACATACACCTGTGCTCGCACATACACCTGTGCTCGCACATACACCTGTGCTCGCACATACACCTGTGCTCGCACATACACCTGTGCTCGCACATACACCTGTGCTCGCACATACACCTGTGCTCGCACATACACCTGTGCTCGCACATACACCTGTGCTCGCACATACACCTGTGCTCGCACATACACCTGTGCTCGCACATACACCTGTGCTCGCACATACACCTGTGCTCGCACATACACTCGGACATAGTAAGTACGTAAGTAAGAATAAGTTAAATTAAACGCAATAAAAACCAAAATTAGTTTTATGCAACAGAACTCATTTTGCTTATGTATTATACAATTGTTATGAGTTCGATTTGTTCTCGTAGTTGACATAAATTACCGCAGCAAAGTTGAACATGTCAGTGGGAAAAAACAAAAGCACTTCTAACCCATTGTATGCAAAACTTATTTTCACACAAACTCCAGCGAATGTTAACGGTGTAGTTACGAACAACAATTCACACTCGGGACTCCGTACTCAGCGTGACGTCACAGTTGCTATGGTTCTTTACTATCGCAGAGCAAATATTGCGACTAAAACCGTACATAATTTGCATTTGCACACGTATATAAACATAAACCATGTTAACATTGTATCTACCACAAGGCATCGCGTTTGATGTTCTTCGCATCTCCTCACTCTGTTCTGCATTTTATTTAGTAGATATCTCTTCTCATTTCGCTGAACTAATAAGCTCTATAGTCACCACTCGAAGCGCGGCATCAAGTAGGCTGCTATTTTACGTTGGTATTTTGTGAGAACGTTATCTTCCCCGGTTGAGACGACCCATTCACGACGCAGCGATAATACAGCTGCAACGTGGCTCGTCTATGTTAAAAATATACAGTGTGGGTAGGTAATGCCTGCACTGCTGGCACTGAAGGGTATAGAGTATAATATACAGTGTGGGTAGGCAATGCTTGCACTGCTGGCACTGAAGGGTATAGAGTATAATATACAGTGTGGGTAGGCAATGCTTGCACTGCTGGCACTGAAGGGTATAGAGTATAATATACAGTGTGGGTAGGCAATGCTTGCACTGCTGGCACTGAAGGGTATAGAGTATAATATACAGTGTGGGTAGGCAATGCTTGCACTGCTGGCACTGAAGGGTATAGAGTATAATATACAGTGTGGGTAGGCAATGCCTGCACTGCTGGCACTGAAGGGTACAGAGTATAATATACAGTGTGGGTAGGTAATGCTTGCACTGCTGGCACTGAAGGGTACAGAGTATAATATACAGTGTGGGTAGGCAATGCTTGCACTGCTGGCACTGAAGGGTACAGAGTATAATATACAGTGTGGGTAGGTAATGCCTGCACCGCTGGCACTGAAGGGTACAGAGTATAATATACAGTGTGGGTAGGCAATGCTTGCACTGCTGGCACTGAAGGGTACAGAGTATAATATACAGTGTGGGTAGGTAATGCCTGCACCGCTGGCACTGAAGGGTATAGAGTATAATATACAGTGTGGGTAGGCAATGCTTGCACTGCTGGCACTGAAGGGTATAGAGTATAATATACAGTGTGGGTAGGCAATGCTTGCACTGCTGGCACTGAAGGGTATAGAGTATAATATACAGTGTGGGTAGGTAATGCCTGCACTGCTGGCACTGAAGGGTACAGAGTATAATATACAGTGTGGGTAGGCAATGCCTGCACTGCTGGCACTGAAGGGTATAGAGTATAATATACAGTGTGGGTAGGTAATGCCTGCACCGCTGGCACTGAAGGGTATAGAGTATAATATACAGTGTGGGTAGGCAATGCCTGCACTGCTGGCACTGAAGGGTATAGAGTATAATATACAGTGTGGGTAGGCAATGCCTGCACCGCTGGCACTGAAGGGTATAGAGTATAATATACAGTGTGGGTAGGCAATGCCTGCACCGCTGGCACTGAAGGGTATAGAGTATAATATACAGTGTGGGTAGGCAATGCCTGCACTGCTGGCACTGAAGGGTATAGAGTATAATATACAGTGTGGGTAGGCAATGCTTGCACTGCTGGCACTGAAGGGTATAGAGTATAATATACAGTGTGGGTAGGTAATGCTTGCACTGCTGGCACTGAAGGGTACAGAGTATAATATACAGTGTGGGTAGGTAATGCCTGCACCGCTAGCACTGAAGGGTACAGAGTATAATATACAGTGTGGGTAGGTAATGCCTGCACCGCTAGCACTGAAGGGTACAGAGTATAATATACAGTGTGGGTAGGTAATGCTTGCACTGCTGGCACTGAAGGGTACAGAGTATAATATACAGTGTGGGTAGGTAATGCTTGCACTGCTGGCACTGAAGGGTACAGAGTATAATATACAGTGTGGGTAGGCAATGCCTGCACTGCTGGCACTGAAGGGTATAGAGTATAATATACAGTGTGGGTAGGCAATGCCTGCACTGCTGGCACTGAAGGGTATAGAGTATAATATACAGTGTGGGTAGGTAATGCCTGCACCGCTGGCACTGAAGGGTATAGAGTATAATATACAGTGTGGGTAGGCAATGCCTGCACTGCTGGCACTGAAGGGTATAGAGTATAATATACAGTGTGGGTAGGCAATGCCTGCACTGCTGGCACTGAAGGGTATAGAGTATAATATACAGTGTGGGTAGGCAATGCCTGCACCGCTGGCACTGAAGGGTATAGAGTATAATATACAGTGTGGGTAGGCAATGCCTGCACCGCTAGCACTGAAGGGTATAGAGTATAATATACAGTGTGGGTAGGTAATGCCTGCACTGCTGGCACTGAAGGGTACAGAGTATAATATACAGTGTGGGTAGGCAATGCCTGCACTGCTGGCACTGAAGGGTATAGAGTATAATATACAGTGTGGGTAGGCAATGCCTGCACTGCTGGCACTGAAGGGTATAGAGTATAATATACAGTGTGGGTAGGCAATGCCTGCACCGCTGGCACTGAAGGGTATAGAGTATAATATACAGTGTGGGTAGGTAATGCCTGCACCGCTGGCACTGAAGGGTACAGAGTATAATATACAGTGTGGGTAGGTAATGCCTGCACCGCTAGCACTGAAGGGTACAGAGTATAATATACAGTGTGGGTAGGTAATGCTTGCACTGCTGGCACTGAAGGGTACAGAGTATAATATACAGTGTGGGTAGGTAATGCCTGCACCGCTAGCACTGAAGGGTACAGAGTATAATATACAGTGTGGGTAGGTAATGCTTGCACTGCTGGCACTGAAGGGTACAGAGTATAATATACAGTGTGGGTAGGTAATGCCTGCACCGCTAGCACTGAAGGGTACAGAGTATAATATACAGTGTGGGTAGGTAATGCCTGCACCGCTAGCACTGAAGGGTACAGAGTATAATATACAGTGTGGGTAGGTAATGCCTGCACCGCTAGCACTGAAGGGTACAGAGTATAATATACAGTGTGGGTAGGCAATGCCTGCACCGCTGGCACTGAAGGGTACAGAGTATAATATACAGTGTGGGTAGGTAATGCCTGCACCGCTAGCACTGAAGGGTACAGAGTATAATATACAGTGTGGGTAGGTAATGCCTGCACCGCTAGCACTGAAGGGTATAGAGTATAATATACAGTGTGGGTAGGCAATGCCTGCACCGCTAGCACTGAAGGGTACAGAGTATAATATACAGTGTGGGTAGGCAATGCCTGCACCGCTAGCACTGAAGGGTACAGAGTATAATATACAGTGTGGGTAGGTAATGCCTGCACCGCTAGCACTGAAGGGTATAGAGTATAATTACCTCATAAGCAACAGCTGCAACTGTCACTTTCTTTATTTGAAGTGGGTGAAGTTGTTCATGACCTGAAGTAGCCTTCTTGCGCACTTACGTGTGGGCTGCGTGCTACCTCGCATGTGATTATAACATTATTAAAAAAAAGTTAATCAACCTTACAGTGACCTTATGGCGAGACGTATCAGACGTATTGCGATGCGATAGGATCGCAGGATTAAGGTAATTTAAAGAAAACATAAGTTTAGTTCTTATCTTTATTTATTTATTTAAAATTGCTGAACCGGCTACAGATTTAACACTTGATAAGAATAAATATATCATAATAATGAATTTTACAAAGTATTTTTAACCTTGACATTGTTACTCAAATTCCTTTAGGCCATAAATCTACTATAAAAGAACTTATAAAATTAATCACCGAAAAGGTTTTTGCTACTATTTAAAAAAATATTAACAAAACTATAATAGATCGCAGATAAGTATGTTTGAAGCGATGAATTGAAACGCCTTTTTATTTACCGTTTTTAATGGTCCTTAGATTTTCTCCAAAGTTAGTAAATTTAAGTAAAAGTTGGGTCCTATATACTCCCCATTTCTGGGCACAGGCCTCCACTAATTTCTGAGAGTAATTTAGGACAAGTAAACGTCCGTCTCGCTCACCTAACGCGTGTTAGTGACATCTCAGAAGACTCATCTAAATATTTTATAAATTTCTTAGACATGGTGGTTGCAACATTCTGTTTTCTTTCGTCGTTAAAATCGTAAATCAGCATTTAAAATTGCAGTTAACAACTTCATTAAAGTCGGCGGGGATCGAACATTACCCGCGTACTGTGACATTTGCCGCGAGCGCTAAGCAACTGAGCTACCATCGTTCTTGGTCAGGCATCCATGCATCCATCCATCACAGGCTATAAGAGTCCACAGCTGAACATAGGCCTCCTCTATAGTTTACCACATGCGGTAGTTTTACCACAGTTGCCACGCTTTGCAGGCGAGTTGGAAACCACAATTTTTAATTATATTGAGTTTAAGATGTTAAACATTAATTTGAAAAGTTCCACGTACGTGGACAGCAAATTAATTTTTAACGTCTTTAATATAATGGATTTCCGCTGATTCTATTAATTATATTATTTTGAGTTATTATCATCAGAGGTACCGCTGCCCATCTTACGTGTTGACTTCTCTCTGCCGCCTTACGACTCACGAGACGATATGTAGCAGTGGATTACGTAATTTAAGATTTTGGTCAGTATTGAAATCAAAATAATCTTGAACGTTTACTATCCAGTTTTATTACATATGTATTCTGAAAGGGACAAGCTGTACGTTGATAATGTTTGCCGTGACTGGAGGCAGTAAAGGTGGATAAGCATCGCGCTCCCCGGCGCGGTGTACGCACACGCCGTTCAATAAATAACTTCTGTAAGTATAATGCGTATGTATTAGAACTTATATTTCATTTTTAAACGGCGAGTCCCTTCCCTAGATAAATAAAAACTAAACATATAAAATAAGTTTTTGTTTATTGTTAAGAAACTCGCAAAATATGTCAGTTGTTTTCAAAATTTGTGAGTAATTTCAGTGTTAAATCCATTATTTATTATTCAAATCAATACTTAGAATTGATTTTAAATAATGATTTTTTAGATAAATTAAACTAATTATCGCATTTAGTTTAATTACTTTATTTTTATATTCCTTTTAAATGATTTGCATTTGTAGCGCTCATGGTCAAGATGGAAATCAAGGCGTCGGAGATATTAAAAAGTAAATTTTTATATAATAAATTTTAGTAAATTATTAAATATAATTTCTAGTCTCATTTCATATTCATCGCTATAAAATAATGTAAATTAAGAAATATATAAAAATTATATAATATTATAATTATATAAATTTATATCCAAAAGAAGTTTTTCAATAAAGAATGTATTAGACATCAGTTATAAACACACAGGTAAATCAATGTGTACGTCAAACTGTTTCCACACTTTTTCAAATCACATGTAGAAAACCTCGAACTTCATTTAACTTTTTCTAACCCGTATCTTGTTCAGAAATACATTTTAGGATTGAAAATAATTTGCGTGCAAATGTTACGAATATCCTTTGTATGAGGTAACCTACGGTGAAGGCTTTTGTTCAGCAAGGGATTTTTAATAGGCCGGAAATGTTTGGTAATTTATTGGTATGACAAACAAAAGTACCGATGGGAACAATGTGGCAACAGGCGTAATAACCATATTCACGTTTTAATTAGCAATCAACAAATAAACCTATAAGTCCATCCATTACGCGAGGTCACAACGACGTGCTATAAAACGTTCGCTCGTAAACTCCAGTGCTTGTACACAGCTGTCGAAGTGCTGTGTGGTCATTCGTCAAATACCTGTCTCTCTTATATAGTTCTGTTACGTAACTTTTAAAATAGACATAATGAAGAAGCTTTTATATAAACTGTCGAGCTACGTGTTCGACACGAACTTTCAGATTTTTGAGGTGTTTTTGAGTTTTATTATTGTTGTTCTATTATATTTTTGTAAAAGTGGATGCGTTTTTACATAATTTATAAACTGTAAAACATCCAGACCAGACAGCTCAGGACTCGAACTCTGATATCGCAACGCCGCAATAAAACATTCAGCCAAAACAGGACCGACCGTCCTAAATTATTTTAATTCATAAACAGAATTTAAAGTACTAAAACGAAGACATCAAAGTGTAAAATATGGCAAAGCCGCGACTTTTCGCAATTTTAACCCATTTCGTATATTAAAACGTGATGTTACGATGTCATTTGTTTACTTTGGGCGCAATCCATTTTACCAAAACGAATTTCTTTAATTTAACCGGACGTTATGATTGTGTCTTTCTTATTTTTTTTAATTCTAGTGTAAAGGTTTTCTCTTGTATTGTGAAAGCAGTTTACAAACATAAATTGCACGATGACAAACATCTAAACCCGAAACAATTACTTTTAGACCATACAAATAATTGTTCTGTGTGGGATTCAAACCCGCGATCCCTCGACGAAGTAACTCAATGCTAAGACATTGAACCAGGGAGCAGTCACTGCGGCGCTATACTTCTAATTTTAATATCTAAGAACTTTATTTTTTTTGCTTAGTTGTTGACGTACCGCTGTTTCATCACACATCAGTTTAGGGAATTGGAAATAGAACACGAAAAAATTTAAGTAGCTCCGATGTGAGGGCCGGACTTAAAATTAGTGCCGTGATAATCATGACTTAATAATGAGTTCGGTCCATTTTGCAGTTTTTGTCATAGGTTTTATCTTACTATTTTAGGGACGATTTTTTTCTTTCACTATTTGAGGAGTACACAGAACTCGAATAAATTAGTTTTTCTTTCATTTTGATTTTTGATGTCATTACCGTTACAGTAAAAAGTCCAATGCTGGACACGTTATGCCTCCAAGAGGGGGATGCTCACGATAGTTGTTGCGACTGGCAAGAGGGCTGGCGACCGCAGTTTTTTATTTTGTGTCGTAATCAGGAAGTCGCTGCTGCCTACCTCCAGTTTACTTTCCTCTGTCGCTTCTTGCGACACTCAGAGGCACTGTATCATACAGTGTGGTGGACAACCTTACACCGCCACTACACGGTAAATGGCCTTTTAGATGTCATTTTTATTAAAAAAAAATAAAAAAAAATAAAAATGTTTTATTTCAGTAAATCATTTTACAATATACATTTTACAATTAATAATTTTGATTGTTGTTATTATTACTCTACCTTTAGTCCGCCTAAAGTGAGTCACTAATTGTAGTGTTGGACGGCTCCATGGCACAGTATTTTATCATTGATTTCTTGCGCTGAGGACCGTGGGTTTGGGTGGGTTTGTTTGGATAAACAAGTATTCGCATGGCCTACAAGTAATTTTTCATGATCTAGATGTTTGTAGTTGTACAATTTGTGTGTATAAACTGCCTCTATGATACAGGAAAAAACCCTAGTGTTCTTTTTATTAAAATAAAGAGATATTTTTATACGATAAGAGGGACAAACGAGCTTATAGTCCACCTGATGGTAAGTGGATGCTGTGGCCCGTAGACGTCTACAGTTAACCTCGATTAAGAATCAAACATCATCATCATGCATAATAGCTGCAGCGTGGCTCTACAACGTAAATATAAATAAAACTTTGATCATTTACGAAATTTAAAATTAAAATACCTTATTTTACTTCTCTTACTTTCAAATTCACGAAAGACGGCAAATTTAATATTAACACTTTTAGCATTAATGTTATTCATGAGTGAAAAGCTTTTAACGACTTTACATGACTTTCTTTTATGTAAGCGTATTCAATGAATGTTAATTTAAAATATCATAAGAAGCTTAGCGTTCAGCCACAACTATTATCTGTGGGTACTGCTTCCTACTCTATTGACATATAATTTTTCACGCAATAACTATAAAAGATTATAGAAAATCGCCTGTTGTATAGAATAAAGATGCAAGCGAGCACACAGTACACCCGATGGTAAATGGATGCTGTGGCCCATAGGTACCCTTATATATACATACCCAATTAAGAATTAAACCGTAGAAACTTTCTTACCACTGAGGATTATGATGGAATGTGTTGTATTCACCAAAAGCGGTATCCGGTTCTCTAGACTTACCATACAAACCATATTAGCATAAAGTTGCTATTTTCCACTGTATTTCGTGGTAGCATCGTCCCTCACAATCGGGTCGACCTACTTGTGCTACAAACATAATATGTGCTACATATTATGGTTGTAGCACAAGTAGTCAACATTTCATCATTAACATTTGTGCTACAACGCGTAAAATACTAATTGGATGCTATAAAACTTCATAAGATTCCTTTTTTATTTGTATATGCAATAAAATACATAAACAGTCTTATAGTAAGTTCGTACAAAAGTCTCACTTATTCTATTATTTGCTGAAATAGCTTCCAGTAGATCCATAAAAGAAAATACATTAAAAAGGCAAACTTAGTGCATGCAGTTACTCTACTACTTTGCACTACAGCATAGAAGTCCTGGGGGCAGTGCGTTGCAACTTGTGGGGATGGACCATGTGACTATTAAGAATAATGGCCAGAGCGGGTGAGGCAG